TCGATCTATAGACATTCGGTAGGACTCCTTGGATGAGGGATCGGCCCGTCGCAAGGCCTCTACCTGTACACAGGACAGCACAACACAACATCCATGGCTTGAGTGGGATTCGAACCCACGGTCCCAGTGACCCCAACATAATAACTAGGAATCGTATTCTAGTTTTTGGGGCTGGAATAAAATTAAACAGAGTGATAAGTTGCATAACACTCGTTTAAAAATTGTGTTTAACAACAATTTATGTTGGTAACGTAATCGGCCTTGAGTCGTACTTAACAAGTTTTGATTTGCATCGTGGCGAGAGACGCCCTAAATGTTAACCACGAACCAAGGCCCGTTTTTAAAATGTAGTTCTTCCAAATTTAAGTCACGGAATGGGGTCATTGCACAATCACCACGCGTCTTTACGGGCTGTCACATAACACTTTATCTCAATTTTAGGAGTTTGTTGGTTTACAGATTATCGTCAGCTGAGTGAAATCGCAGAATATAATATTTGGGCACTGGGACCGTGGGTTCGAATCCCACTCAAGCCATGGATGTTGTGTTGTGCTGTCCTGTGTACAGGTAGAGGCCTTGCGACGGGCCGATCCCTCATCCAAGGAGTCCTACCCAATGTCTATAGGTCAAACCAATGAAAAGTTGGGACCCGCAGTGCTCAGGAACTTGGAGAAAGGGTCGTTCCCCTGTATCCCCCAGTAAGATAATATAAAATATTGTACGAAGTGACGGAATGGCTGTGATTAAAAAAAAAACCTAAACAAGTTCTATTTTCTCGAAAATCTGGAGGCCTTGTTTTAACGACAGTTTGTTTATGTTTACTTCATGATATGAAATTTTACTTTTACGCCGAAAGTAATTCTCTTGTACGTCCTTGTAATATGAAGAGAAGCATGATGGCTTAATTCAAACAAGGAGCAGCTCAGTAGACGTGAACTGCTACTGGACGCTTTTGCGTTAACCTACTGCGCACTTGTGCGCCGTTAAGCTTGCCACTTATATCCGATGCGCCATCATATCCTCACATGGATTTTATTTTAAGACATTTTCTGTCAAGGCATTCTAATGAAATCTCTGATAAACCTCAACCAATCCTACTTTCGTGATTTTTGAACCTTTCTGAAGCAGAATATCATTTAATAATAGTTAAGAATTAGCTCGTACCTCACGGACCTAAAAGGAAACACAACTCTGGTCAATGTTGTTAATGAAATACCCTCTTTATTAGGACCAAACGAAATCCGTTAATATAAAATGTATAGTATTTGGTTGTTAAAGCCGGCTCTTATCTTTAAAGGGTTTACACCAATCCACCCCGCCTCTGGCTTTAGGGTGGGGGCCTCCAGGCCATCCGCCACCCCCTGGTTCTGTCACTGGGTTTAAGGGCGTGGTCTGCACCCCCGTGGTTCCTTTAGTATGTGTGTTTTTTCTGGTGTCCTGCGAGAGTAATGCGGCGACAGACACTGCTCTGTGGGTACCTTAAGGCGCCGGCCGCGGGTCACATGTGGCATGCTGACCTCTGTTTTATGCGGCTCGCGTACTTTTTTGTAATATTGTGTCGCCACGTGCAATGAAAAATAGGCAAGAGAACGCAGAAACTAACTTGTTAATTTTATCAGAATTTAACACCTGTACGACGTGACGAAGATGAACTTTTGGAGAGATTCAATAATAGAAATTAAACCTCATCTTATTATTATTTAGTGTTCTGTCTGAGGACAGGTCCATATGAACAGGATCCTTCCATCCTTTTCTCGGACTGGGACCTGTTCATATACGTTCTTGGCAGATGATCCAGAAGTGGTTTGCCATTGCCTTCTTCTGTGTGTGAATGGAGTAATTGTTGGGATGCCACGGAGGAAAACTCCGTGTTGCCTAGACCACGGCCTTGCCCAACACAAGTTATAAATTCGGGCACCGCCGGGAATCGAACCCGAGACCCCAGGATTACAAGGCCAGCTAAAACCATGGTTAGTGGTAATGGTCGGAGAGCTTAGAGTCGATAAATATTCCCAGGTCTTTAATAGTGTCGGCACGTGTTATGGAGGACTGAAAAAGTTTGTAATCAAAGATCAAAGTAGTGGTTTTCCTGGAGAAGGAAATTACTGTAGTTTTACTAATATTGAGATTCATGAAGTTAGCAGTGCACCAACCTTGTACAGAATCAGTGTTAGTTTGAAGTTGATTGCAGTCGTTAAGAGATTTAATGGCACGAAAGATTTTGATTTCATCAGCGAAAGAAATGCATCTGGAATGAAAAATTACATTGCATATGTCATCAATGAATAAGTTAAAAGCAGAGTACCCAAAAGAGATCCCTGTGGAACTCCAGAGAGGACTACAATAGGAGACGAAACAGTTCCAGAAATAACAACAACAACAACAACATTTTAAAGGACATCTCGTGATTAACCCTTTGAAGCCCAGTGGTAACGATATGTACCACGTGATTTAATGATAAGTAATTTTGCATTTTTCCACAGTGCGTTTATGGGTTTCGTATGATTCTCAGAACAAACTGGGATTATTTCCATAAACAGGATTTTCCATCTGATCTTTGTAATGAGAAGTGTTGTGTTTGCTGTGATGAACAGACGAAATTCTAAAATATCAGTTAAAGGAATTCAGTTTCAGAGAGTTAAGTAATTGGGTTGCATTGAAATGTTCATGAATGAATGGATCGGATCTCGGTAAAGACCCGCATTACCAAATCTCCGGTACGTGACTGGAATCTGTCGTGTCCGCTTGGAGTAATCCCGCGGTTCGACTTCCCAGTCGTTCCACTTCTGTGGCGTTGACGCTATTACTGACCCCTGGGGCTCTCCACAGGATGGCTCCTGCGATGTTGTGAACAAACACGAAAGGCTATCTCACGGTTGCATTTACCGACCTGTTATATCTTACGTAACTTTTCTGAGTCCTGGGTAAAATGTTTCCGACAGTTGCTACAAGTAAAGGTACACGTAACAAAGTTAAGAAGTAAGTCAGAGAGGTCTTGTTTTTTGACGTAAATACGTCTATAAGGAAGGGTCATTCGGAAAAAAAGTGGAACGAAAAAGGGAAACGAAAAAGTGGAACGAAAAAGGGAAACGAAAAAGTGGAACGAAAAAGGGAAACGAAAAAGTGGAACGAAAAAGGGAAACGAAAAAGTGGAACGAAAAAGGGAAACGAAAAAG